AATGCCAAGGGCAAAGAAACGGGGAACTGGGCGATGTTAACCATCAGAAATACAAAGACAGCGATAAAATCTGGAAGATTAGCTCAGGCATAGTGAACGAAAGACACTCGAAAACAAACAGACGATTGGAATCTCAACCAATTTTCGCAAAAACCTGCAGCGACCTTCGAGTGCTACCACTTCTAATGACCACCAAGCATTTGCATGCAAATGGCAAGACGGACGCGCATGGTAACATGGGTCTAAGCGACATTCATATTGCAACAACCTAATACTCTTCGACTCTTATGTAAGTGAAGAGAGCAATAGACAGGGTTCTTGGTGAGCTGCGTATTAAGCTAGCGCATCATAACACCAAGTCTATTGCCGCAGATGTATCCCGATAAGACACTGTACCCTCAACATACCGAGTCATCTCCAAGCATCTGTCGAATCCTCCTCAAAAACATTTCGAAAATGTTCAATCCACAACAAAGTCGTTCCTTAGTCATAAGCTCGGCCTCTCTGGATATCGCAATTTGCTAAATATCAAACTCAATTATTAGTTAGTATGCGTTCATAAGCCTTATTTTGAAAGAACAGAAGGACTTGAAATCTGCAAGCGCTGTGTCAAGGAAAAAAAAACCGGGATGAACAATGGGAAATAGGTTTCTGACACGAAAGCTATACAAAGGCGGAGTCGGCGATCGAAATGGTGCTAGCGCTACTAACCAGGAAAGGCATTCAACTTCCCATGGAACTTTGAGATGAGACCCAGATATATCGATAGAGCTTCAAACGCTGATTACAAATATGGAAACTAAAACTGCAAAATGAACCTGCCAAGGAAGTTGTGAGCAGTCAAAGTTGGCTGGAAGTAAAGCATTACACTAGCCTCCAGGCTTTCAAAGTCGCCGTGGAGTAGTGGTAGTGCTCTCGGAATTTGCGCTCCAACGGGAGGAGAGCCAGGGTGAATAGCGAGGGCACCACCACTGCTCCGCGGCGACTCTGAAAGCCTGGGGTGCAGCACGGTTCATGTGTAATGCTTTACTTCCAGCCAACTTTGACTGCTCACAACTTCCTTGGCAGGTTCATTTTGCAGTTTTAGTTTCCATATTTGTAATCAGCGTTTGAAGCTCTATCGATATATCTGGGTCTCAATTCAAAGTTCCATGGGAAGTTGAATGCCTTTCCTGGTAAGTGACAGTGGAGACCACCGTCAGTAATTGACAAATAGGAAGAAACCGTTCAGAAGGACGAAAGCCTTCTCTCCAGTATCGGCGAAACGTATTAGCATTGATTGGGGGGGGGGAGTCTGGTGATGGGAGGAGCATTCTAAGGCCTTAGCGACTCAGCCTTGCTATTTCGTGTCGCCAAGAAGGTACATGCTAGGCGCTTGTTCCACTCCATGTTTCACACGCAATAGGTTAATTTTGTTAAGGAATCTCAGGGTTTCTTCGCCTTGAAGGAGCTTTCCAGAGTATCACAGCATACCTTATCATCTCCAAACTTCTCAACGACATTAGTGAGCTGAATACGAGAGTATTTCTCCTCGAAGCTTAGCAAGTTGCTTTTTCTTGCTCAGCAACACCTGAAACTCGTACCATTATTACCTAAAAGCGCCATTTCTTCGTTTTCGGATACATTCGTGCCAAATATGAAGTTTGACTAGAAGCATGAAAGGTACAACAAGGGCAACGAACTTTTGGCTGGTGGCTTCGGAATGACGTTTGTGAAAGCAGCTGCGGCGAGTAGATCCTGCACCTCCTCTTGAGCCATACCTGATTCTAGCTGGTGACAAAAGAGAATAATATTGCCCAATTCGCGCAGATCCTAAAAACTGAACTCAAAAGCAAGAAATCTCATTGGTGAGCGTCTTCTGATTGAATAACAGCCTTCAGCTCAGCTTCGAAAGACAGGAACTAGAGCGTCCTCTACAAATATAGAAAACAATTCAAACGGAATACCTGACAGAATTCGCCCTTCAATTCGCCATACTTTCCCACGCCCTCGAGATGGTGGAAGTAATATTGAAGCACACCTACAAAGATTCCGTTCCACGTGTTATATCAGGATTTCAGAGAGAGCGATCCGACTCTATGAATTCACCTGGACTACCGTAGTCGCTCCGTGGCAACTTGCATATTTTTGGCATCACAGAGTAAATTGTCCTCAAGTGGCGTTTCAACTTGTCAGAAATCAGTATTCGAGCCATTTTTAACAGTTCCTCCAGGATCACAGCAATGCCTGAATTAATAAATGCTCACACTTTAGTAATCAAGTAACTAGGAAGTCTCAAATACCTTGGTATTGCATTAGCCGTGCGATCGCTTTCAAATGCGGAATTCCAATGAAGCGTGAATAAGAGAAGAAAATGTTCGCAAATGCTGCATTCAATGACTTCGACCCCCACAGATAGATGAACGAGACCTGCGGTTTCTTTTCACGAGATGGCGTCTTCCGAAATACTTCCTAGACAGATGCAAAAAATAATCACGGCACACATAATGTACTGATTACAAAATTTCACATAAACTGCGGATTACATCATTTGACTTTGATGCGTTGAAAGAATAATAGCCTGGTTAGCAAAACACAACGCAACTGCGCGTTTGATACCTACGTGGAACGAACAATGCTTACCTTCAAAGTCAATTAAAAGTACCGACATTGCTCTGCGACAAACAGAGGAATCACTGAACCTTGGCACGAACAAATCGGTGAGTTGATCCATTGTAAACAAAATTTGGGACGAAATCGTAATTCAATTCCCAAAACACGTGCAAGGTAATGCGTCCATGCGGTGCAGAC